ATATACTTTACAAACATTTAAAAGTGTTTCTTCTTAATATAGACAATTTTCAACAGTCCATCCAAACACCAGTTGCCTATCTTCTTTAGTAACTTCTGTCAACTCTTTGACAACAGTTTCACATTTTTTCTAAAATATATGCCATCGGGTTGTTTTGAGAAGAAATTACAAAGAACAACGACTGCATAACATAAAAAAGTAGCATATTAATAAAAAAAATATTTCAATAAAGTACGCTATCATGATTAAATTCATATGATGAAATTATATTGTGATGCTAAATACAAAATCTAATGCTCATAATACCAAACATATAGATCCGAAGAGTGCAATTAAAATCAAAACACTAGTTATTTCTTTTAATTAATAATTCAAAAGTTCAACTATTTGAGAATATGTGTACGAGAAAATTCAATGGAAAATTTAAATTCAGAGATAATGCTATTTGAACATAATATTCCTCTTCTGTATAATAATATAATAATAATATTCCCCTCCTTTGCAAAAATTTAAACGCGTTTTTTTTAAGAGACTGTGGTATATATTAGATACAAGTAAAAATGATCATAAATATTGTATCTTTGCAAAGCGAATTAAGATCGAGCTTAAAATAATATAAAATAACAATTGTAACAAATATTTTAACACGATGGAATAAATATTGCTACTGTTTATTTAATAAAAAGCGATCATTCGTAGTATAAGAAGAGAATTAAATTAAGTCGACTAAAGCTTAACTTGTCATGATGTCATAATCTCTTCCAAGTTAATTAACCAAATAAGCAAATAAAATAGCATTTTAGATGACAATTTGATAGAAGAAAATGAATTTATAAATTCAAATATAATATAGAATGTATATAAAGAAAGTCAGAGTGATAAAATAGAATAAAAAAATTAGCTGGTAGACAAAAAGTAAAAAAAACTATGGTAATGCTATTTAATTTTTAAATAGATATATTAATTGTGTATCATACATTAAAAAAAAAACAATTATATCTACAATGGTAGAGCGACGAATATAGCAACTCTAGATTTCCACATTTTTTTTTTAAATTGAACTATGGTTTAAAATGGAATATCAAATTGACGAATCTCATCACATTATTATTTCATAAAAACAGAAACTAAAAAGCAGTCAGAAGAGCCTGAAAAACCATGGATTGAATTTGATTTGCTGCCAAGATATGACAGCACAAAATCATAATGACACAAAGTTCGTTTCGAGGAAGAGATGGCAACTTCAACTTTTGGGCAGTATACTCGGGTAGGAAGCAGACTGGTGCAAGTGGTAAAATACTTTAGAAGTGGTTTTGGGTGGTTAGAAGGGGTTCTCTGAAAAATTTCAATATTGGTGTTTTCAATTTTTCAATAGTGGTGACATGTCAATCTATGCCAATGGCTGCTATAGCCTTGTCAGAGAAAACTGCAATCGAAAACAGAAAGTGTTGGATATCTGCACGGTTAGTGACTACAACGCGATCTTCTGGAAAATGAAATGAATCAAATATCAATCTAATGCCACCGAAAGGAAAGTAATATAATAAAGACTGAAAATTTATCTATGAAGCGAAAAAAAAATACTTAGGAAAGACCATATGAGATAGCAATGTATTGCCTCCAAAACCAAGTCAATGTTTTACAATGCGCTTTTTCTGAAGAATAGTTAATATGTTGAATTAAATAAAATCCTACCTATAAGCGATGAAAAATTTATAATAAGCGGATATGTAATCAAGCAATACAATCACTAATAAGGATTCTTAACTATAATATGTAAATGCATACAAAAAGGATTACGAAAATAGAAATTACTTCGTTTAGTACTTCTTCAGACAGAAAAAGTTCACAGGAAAAGCCGTTCATCCTACTGTCCGGTATATGTATTAGATCCAGCGGGCAACATTTTTGAATTCTAAAAATGCATTGTTGATCGAATCTGCTAGCAGACAATAAGTAAGGTTTTCCAAAATCACATGAAGTATGGTTTTTGAAATGAGCGATGTAATACGAATGTGAAACGAATAAACTAGGTTGTTAATACTGCCAAAGTAGCAATTGTTAAGATCAGATGGAAGGGTGGTATTTTCCTGGTGGTTACATTAGATACTACTTGCATAATGTAGCTGGAACTATATTATGCAAGATCTCTGATGAGTTCATCAAATGATGGGCTGAATATGTTTTAATATTGAACAAAAAATCTCACGTTTATAATATATCAGGAATCGCAAAATGAATGAATAATGATAAAGAAAAAGAATGATAATTCCATTTTGAAGAATAGCAAAATGAAAATAAATATAAATTCAAAAATAACTTGAAAGTTGAAAATGAAAAACGTGCAAACGTGTTCTCGCATAAATTGATTGAAGTTTCTCTATTAATATATACAATAACATGCGAATATAAAAAAACAATGAATGAATTAATTTGAAAAGATTCAACTAACAGAATATCTTATTATCCATATGAACATGTGCAAGCCGCATACGCATACAATGCGGTAATGAAAAAAAAACTGCACATGCATTGTGAAATGTGAAACTGAGGCTTAGCATTTCACGTGCTTGCGACAGGTTATTTAAATGCACCTAATATTAGTCATACACGAATGATAATGATAATAATTCGATACTTATGACAATAGGTATTTGGGTATTAGATATTTATAAATGGAACTATAAAATAAAAGTATGGATACATTTACTTT